GTAGTATTGAACCAAATCCGCGAAAAATACAAGCTCTGGCTGGCTTCGTTTGGTAATCAGAGCATGAAGAACTACGTCAAAAAATTATCTCAGTACTAACAGATGCAAGTGCAAGTGGATATGGTGCCATTCTCATGCACAAAATAGACGGTAAGCCTAAAGTGTTCGAATATTTTAGCAAATGTACATCGTCCCCAGAATCGAGATATCATTCTTACGAACTAGAGACCCTCGCAGTATACAACGCTGTAAAAAGTTTCCGCCATTACCTTCACGGTCGAAAGTTTGTAGTATTTACAGACTGTAATTCATTAAAGGCAAGTCGAACTAAAGTAGAATTAACGCCAGAGTACACCGTTGGGCATATTTACAATCATTTGACTTCACTGTAGAGTACCGCAATGGAAACCGTATGGCGCACATGGACTTTTTATCCAGAAATCCGATTGTCACTGAATGTGAAACAATGAATAGGATACCCGAAGTTCGCATCGACTTAACAGAGGTGACAGACAACTGGCTTTTAGCTGAGCAGCATCGTGATTCGTGCTTAAGGGAAAGTATAGCCCAGTTGAATGGTGGAGAGGTGCAGGAGAGTTTAGCGAAGTCGTATGAGTAAATGGTATGAGTAAATGAAATGGAAAGACACGCTGTTTACCTGTAATCCCAAGAGCCTTTAGGTGGTCTGTAGTAAACCATGTCCATGAAGCAATTATGCATTTGGGGTGGCAGAAAACGTTAGGTTAGGTTAGGTTTACGATCAGTATTGGTTCGAGCACATGCCCAAGTACGTACGAAAATTCGTAGAGAACTGCATAACATGCAAGCTGGCAAAGGTTTCAGCAGGTAAAATTCAAATGGAACAGCATCCAATTCCGAATGTTAAGATACCTTGGCACACTGTGCATATTGATATTAGTGGAAAGTTGAGTGGTAAAAATGATACCAAGGAATATGTCATAGTACAAATATACGCATTTACTAAATATGTTCACTTGTATCATACTTTGTATTTAGATGCAGAAAACTGTATTAAGGCTTTAAAATCAACGATATCACTCTTTGGGGTACCTAACCGTATCATAGCAGATCAAGGTAGGAGTTTCGCTTGTGGAAAATTTCGTGAGTTCTGTTCAATGCACAAAATAGAATTACATTTGATAGCAACAGGTCCAAGTATGGCCAATGGACAAGTGGAGAGGGTGAGCACGATGAAAAGTATGTTGACAGCAGTAGAGATAGGTGAACGTTCCTGGCAGGATGCACTTAGTGAGGTGCAGTTAGCCATGAATTGTACGACGAACAGGGTGAAAAAGTATAGCCCATTGGAATTATTGATTGGAAGAGAGGCCAGGCCAATGGGTTTATTGCCAATAAATAAAGAAACTAAAAAAGATTTTAAGCAAGTGAGTGCTCAGGCCAAAGAAAATATTGAAATTAATGCGAAATGTGAGAAAAATCGAGTTGATAAGAATAAGGCTAAGATTGTAAAACACACGGTTGGGGATCATGTCTTGCTGAGAAGTGAAGAGCGACATCAGACCAAACTGGATCCTAAGTTTAAAGGACCTTTTGTGGTTGACGAGTTGTTGGAAGGTGATCGATACCTGTGAAAATCGTTGAATAGCAAGCGAACGTATAAGTATTCACACGAAAGTTTGAGAAGGCTGCCAGACGAGCAAATCTCTGATGAGACCATTGAGAGAGGTGACGGTGGTGAAAAAGACACTCGTCGTGGGTCATCAAACACAAGGGCTAACCTGATCAACAATAGTCATGCCTGGTATGGATGATATTGTGTGGAGCAGGTTGGATCTGAATAGATCGTGGCACTAAAGGTGCAAGGCGTCGTGTGAAGCGGCAAGAGCCTGTAACTGTGGTTTGATGACGAGGATAGCCAAGTGGGCATGTTTGCGCAAAAGAGTACGACCTACTGAGAGAGAGTTATACCAGCTCAAGCCGAAAGCACAAGTGTGGAACCAGGGGTGTTCTGTCATGGCGTGTGACGCGGTAGACTGGTGTAGTAAGTTTGAAAAGACTCACTGTATGATGTGAGGAAGCGGGATAGCCTGCGAAACCGACACTTGATGACGCGGTTTATGAAGTTGTGTGTGAAGACTATGTGTTTTGATAAGAATGATGTTGAGAGATAAAAAGAGAAATGAAGCAAGAATGGTACCAACCTAGTGTTACAGTACGCACACGAGGACGTGTGAAAGTCAGGAAGGTCGTGTCGGAGATGTATAAGAAGCAAAATGTAAATTAAACTGTAAAGCGTTAAGAAAGAGAAAGAATATAGAACAAAAGAAACTAAGCAACGAGTTATTTGTGGTTCCTTTTATTTGCATAATTGCTGAGAACGAGGATTGAGAACAAGAGAGAGCGTTGTCTCATCCGACTGTGGCGCGGTCGCGTGTTGGTTGCCTTTGAGAGAGAGAGAGAGATCAAAATGGAATGGACAATTGGATGAGGCAATGCTGCATGGCGCGTGCCATGGTGAAGAAGGAAGAAAAGGCAGTTTGCTCTGACATCTAAGATAGAGAAGTACACGTTGACCGCGACTCACTGCGTATCAGTACCAAAATGCAACGGGAAGAACAAGAAAAGTTTCAGCCTCTGACATCAGAAGTGGGATCGGCTCAGGCCCAGCGTGATAGTGAATGGCGATCGCTGTTAGAAGCACAAAATCAACGATTTATCGAAATACAAAAAACAGTGCAGCAGCCTGCTTCAACAAATTCAAGTGAAAAATTGATTAGATTGCCAAAGTTCAATCCAGACGTGGCTGAAGCTGACGCCAGCGCCTGGCGCAAAACAGCCGATATGATTTTCACGGAGCATCCCCTGGAAGGCAGTGCGCTAGTTATGTCGCTGAGCGGAGCACTACAAGGGAGCGTTTCCCAATGGCTGGCACAGATCAGCTATGCTGGCATAACCTGGCCAAAATTCCAAGAATTATTTGTTCTTCGCTATGCCGACTCCGAGACGCCGGCCGCCATCTTGTTAAATATTCTCAACGGACGGCCGGAAACAGGCGAGTGCTTGTCAGCATATGGTAGCCGATTAGTGACGTCTCTTCTGACGAAATGGAAGGCGATGGACATCGAGGAGATAGCTGTCTCTTTCGTAGTTGCACACACGTCGCAAATCGACACTAGAATGCAGCGTCTACTGTTTACCACCAATATAATGAACAGAAATGAACTTCAGCAGCAGTTGAAGGCGTATGCGTACAGAAAGCAAAGTGAGCATCTGGCTTCAGAGGATTCGATCTGCCCCGACAGGAAGAGATTCAAGGCAAACACATCAATGAAGTACCATTACTGTGGAATTTCCGGACACAAAATGCTGGAATGCCGCAAGAGGAAGGCAGAACAATCAAAACCAAGTCAATCGTTTGGAAAACCACTGGCGGGACGAGACAGGACTGGAGTGACTTGCTTTAAATGTGGAATCGTCGGTCACATTGCATCCGCATGTATGAAGGGGACAGCAGCAACGAGTAGCAGAGTTAACGAGAAGCGAGTAGATGTCTGTGCAGTGTTAGAGCCCAAAGAATTTTATATCAATTTGGTGAGGCCTTTCCATTCTTTTTCGACTCGAGTGCCGAGGCAAAGCTAGCAGAGAAATTCGCGGGAAAAAGACTTAATAATTTAGTCATTCTAAAAGGAATTTGCACAAATACTGTACACTGTAATTTACAAATACTGTCCACCATACAAATTTGCCAATTTAATTTGGAAATCATATTTAATGTAGTTGAAGACGAGTATTTGAAACATGACATAATGATTGGTCGTGAAATCTTGGCACTAGGCTTTGGTATAACGATGGATGCTGATAAATTTAATATTTTTAAAACTAAAGTAGTCAATTCAATATCTGATGAAACTATTATAAGTTATGATGAGCTATTTGATAAAAATTATGAAAGAATTAGAAAGAATTAGTTAGAGATAAAATCAAAGAAATGTTGGCAGCAATAATTCGTCCAAGTAATTCTCCATTCGCGAGTCCAATTTTGTTAGTGAAAAAGAAAGATGGCAGTGATCGGTTGTGCATAGACTATAGAGAGCTAAATGCAAATACAGTGGCTGACAAATAATCATTGCCTCTAATATCACATCAAGTGAACAGACTGCCTGGGGGTAAATACTTCTCTTGCTTAGATATGGCTAGTGGGTTTTATCAGATTCCAATAAATGCAGGATCCATAGAGCGAACCGCTTTTGTAACCCCTGAGGGCCAGTATGAGTTTCTATCCATGCCATTTGTGCTGAAGAATGCCCCTTCTATTTTTCAGCGAGCTATAGCCCGAGCACTGACTTGGCGTACTCCTATGCAATTGTTTACATTGATGATGTAGTAATAGTAGCGAGGTCTAAAGAGGAAGCATTTGAAAGACTGACAGTCGTGCTGGGGGTTCTATCGGAAGCAGGATTTTCATTTAATATAAAAAATGCTCTTTTCTGTAACGCTTGTGGCAAGTAAATCGATGGGCAGTGCCATCTATGAGATATCACGTTTTATTTATATGTCTTGGTAAAATATATATATCAAATGAATTACTTTGCGTCCCACCGTACAAAACCTAGCAGTTCGAATAATCCATAAAGGAGAAGAAAAAAAATAAAAAAGGGAGCGGATTTACCATCTCTCTTGTCTCTCAAATTTTTGAGTGAGATGAATTTCGAAATAAGTAAAACAAACCACTCAATTTGATTTCGCTGCAATTTTCTGCCATTTCCGTATTCTCGCTCTCGAATAATATTTTTTTGGTTTTAATTCGTATTACATCTTACTGCGAAGGTTAATTTAATAATTCAATTGTATTGCATGTATTTATGTTCTCATTTAAATTTTTTTCAATATGTTCTCAAATTTTAAGAATTTTAATTAGGTTTTAAATACACTTTATAATGATTAGCTAAATTGTATTTTTGTTTGCCTTCGACTAGGATGAGTCCCCGGTAGAACCCGAGTCAGTAGAAGGGGCCGTTCGATAATATGATGGGAAGTTTTCGGTAAAGAACGGCCAAGGCAGGGAGGGCAAATGTGGTTCCGTTAGAACACCCACTTGGCGATCTACACAACTTACAAGACGAAATGCGGTCATGACTTCCATAAGACTTGCATAACTAGTCATTCGAAGACTCATAGAGAATGTCCGATTTGCGGAATCATTTGTTTTCAACTCCCACCGAGTGGTAAAACGATTGTCAATTCGCCAGCCCCCTCTGGGAAAACCGGCGAAAATCGCGCTGAGGTAGACATAGGGAATTTAGTGACTCAAGCGGTCCAGGGGATGAAAAATGATTTACTCACTCAACTTTCTCAGCAAATGGCTCAGATTATACAAGCTAATATTGCCGCACTGGTTCCCGGGAATCCCTTAGCACCCCCAAACCCAAGCACAAACACCAACTGGACGGATCAAGAGAGATAGCCAGTCGAAAATTTTGATCAATTCCGGAGTGAGTCCAGATTTACTCCTGTCAGCGTAGAATCCGATGCCATTTATAGACCAGATAGGGTGGGCCAAATATTAAATAGTTGGAAAATTCGTTTCAATGGCAGTCTTGATGGCATAAGCGTGGACAATTTTATATATCGAGTGGAGGCGTTAACAGAGCAAACATTAAATTCAAAGTTTGAAATTTTAGCTAGCGTTTTATTGTTTGATGGTAAAGATCGCGATTTCTATTGGCGATATCATAAATCCTGCAATGGAGAGGGGCTCGATTGGAAAGCTCTCTGCCAAGCTCTTCGAAAACAATTTCGGGATACCCGCTCCGATGTCGATATCCGTGAAGCAATTCGGGATAGAAAACAAAAAGAGAAGGAAAATGTTGATACTTTTCATGATGCCATTGTCTCATTAACGGATGGGTTAGAAGTGCCGCTCTCGGAAAAGTCCGTGGCAGAAATACTAGCTAGGAATTTGCGCCCTGAAATACGACATGAACTCCTTCATATCCAAATTAATTCGGTGGGGCAATTGAGAGAAATTTGTAGGCGAAGGGAAAGTTTTCTGGAGGATGTGAGGCGGAATTATGCATATACAAAGGCAACTCCTTACCGGAAGCAAGTTGCTGAACTGCTTGAAGATCCGTTGTCAGATGAAGCCGCCGAATTTTCCGACATCGAAAGCGAAGTGGAAGTGGGAGCTTTGGCTTTGATTTGTTGGAATTGCCACAAAGAAGGGCATCGTTACCAAGACTGTGAAGGGAAGCGTAGGATTTTCTGCTATGGTTGTGGAAAGCCGAACACTTACAAACCTTCGTGTAGTAAGTGCCAAAAAAAACGCGAAGGGGAACACACAGCCTCGTCAGCAGCCGTGTGTTCAACGCCACCGCCCGACGAATTCCGAGGCAGAACAATAGACATTGAAAATACTCCTGTAGAAATAGAAAATCCCAATTCTTCAGCACCAACTTCTGTTCAAAAATCTTTTTGGTCGAAGAAATTAAATTTACAAATAAATTAATCTAAAATACATAGTTGTTTAAAACATCAAAAGTCTCAATCCAGAAACGCACAGCGAATGAGAGGGTATTGGGCAGCTTTGAAAACAATAAATACGATTTGGTATAAGGAGAAGGATAAGCGTCCCTATGCCGAAGTGGGTCTTTTGGATCGTATTGTTATGGGGTTATTGGATACGGGGGCAGCTATTAGTGTTATAGGCGGAAACCTGGCTCAACAAATAATAAGAAGTAAAATTACTTTTAAGCGTGGAACAACTTCAGCATGCACCGCCGACGGAACGAAGCAAGAAGTCGTTGGACGAATAAAAACTGTAGTAAAGTACAACAATCAGGAAAATGAATTGGATCTCCATCTAATTCCAACTCTCAGTCAAGACTTATATTTAGGGATTGATTTTTGGACTAAATTTGGTTTATTGCCAACAGAAATGCAGATCTCTGAAATTGTGTCTGACACCCATAGTCTTACGGCAAAACAAAGTGAAGATTTGCAAAAAGTTATTAGTTTCTTTTCCTCGTTTTCCGTTTCTGGGTTGGGAAAGACAAGTATTCTCTCGCATTCGATTGATGTTGGAGATGCTAGGCCAGTAAAACAGCGGCATTTTCCAGTATCGCCGGCTGTGGAAAAACTTTTGTATGCCGAAGTAGACCGTATGCTGAAGCTGGGTGTAATTGAAGAGTCGGATAGTGCTTGGTCGTCACCGGTTGTGCTGGTTCAAAAACCAGGGAAGATTCGCCTTTGCTTAGACAGCAGAAAAGTAAATGCAGTAACAAGAAAAGATGCGTACCCGCTTCCCCAAATGGATGGCATCTTAGGGCGTCTCCCAAAAGCAATGTATATTTCAAGCCTCGACCTCAAAGATGCTTACTGGCAAGTGCCTCTCGATCCTCAATCTCGTGATAAGACGGCGTTTACTATACCTGGAAAGCCTCTTTATCAATATAAAGTCATGCCGTTCGGACTGACCAACGCTTCACAAACCATGACTCGCTTGATGGACAAAGTCATTTCTGCTGAACTCCGTAACGAAGTATTTGTTTATCTGGACGACTTATTGGTTGTCTCAGATAGTTTTGAGTCGCATTTAAAGGTATTGGAGATAGTTGCGGGGCATATAAAGGCGGCTGGGTTGACTCTTAACGTCGAAAAGAGCAAGTTCTGCATGCGATCCGTCAGGTATTTGGGTCATATTGTGGGAGAGGGTGTAATAAGAACGAATCCCGATAAGATCTCAGCCATGACAAACTTTCCGCTACCAAATTCATTGAAAAGTCTGCGAAGATTTTTGGGAATGGTAGGCTGGTATCGAAAATTTATTAAGAATTTTGCATCTGTGGCTTCCTCATTAACAGATTTGTTAAAGCCGAAGCAGAAATTTGCCATGACGGCGGAAGGAAAACAGGCCTTTGAAGAGTTAAAGAACATGTTATGCTCTGCGCCAGTTCTTCGTAGTCCAAACTTCAATAAACCATTTTTTGTGCAGTGCGACGCTAGTAAAACTGGTGTCGGAGGAGTTTTAGTGCAGAAAACAGCTGAGGGTGATGATAGCGTTCGTGTCAAAAAAATTAAATAAAACACAAAAATGTTACTCAGTTAGTGAACAGGAGTGCCTGGCCGCACTAGTCTGCATTAAACGATTCCGGGCATATATCGAGGGTCATGAGTTCACTGTTATTACTGACCATGCGTCCCTTAAATGGCTTTTGACTCAAACGGATTTACATTCTCGTTTAGCTAGATGGGCTCTGAAACTGCAGGGATTCAATTTTAAAATTGAGCATCGCAGCGGAAAGTTAAATGTTGTTCCGGATGCGCTGTCTCGAGTAAATGAGGAAAATATGGCTGCGTTAGATGCTGGACATGGATTGTTAGTGGATTTGGAATCGGCAGAATTTAAATCTCCCGAATATGTGGAATTTGTGGACCGACTAAAAGCGAACATCGAAAAGTTGCCAGATATAAACGTTACCGATGGTTTGGCGTACAAGAAAATGGATTACGCCACAGGAGATTCACTTCACGACGAGTTTATTTGGAAGTTATGGATCCCGAAGGGGTTAGTTCAGGAGGTTTTAAAGAATGCTCATGATCATCCCATGGCTTCGCACGGAGGGATACATAAAACTTTAGAGCGTGTTAGAAGATATTATTATTGGCCTGGTCTGGTAAAGGATGTAAAGGCCCATGTTCTTTCTTGCGATACGTGTAAAATGATTAAGGCTCCTAATACAGTTCAGAGACCTCTGCTAGGGGTACCACCAGAGTCGGGAAGATTCTTTCAGAGGTTATATGTTGATTTCCTGGGTCCATATCCACGTTCAAAAAGCGGTAACACAGGCATTTTTATCGTATTAGACCACTATTCGAAGTTTGTGTTCTTAAAAGCAGTCAAGAAATTAAATGCGGACGTAGTGATTAAATATCTGCAAACTGACCTGTTCCATACATTTGGAGTGCCAGAAACGGTTATTTCGGATAATGGGTCACAATTTAAATCAGATGCGTTTCAAAAATTTCTTCGGAACCACCGGGTAACACATTCATTCACGTCAGTGTAGTCGCGAGTAAACAGGTCGGTCATCATATGTTAGGCCCGATCAGAAAAATTGGGACGAAGAGCTGAGCAGCATTTGCTGTGCATAAAGATCTGCGGTACACTCTTCTCTGGGAACGACACCCTATTTTATGGTATTTGGCCAGCATTTTATAAATTCCGGATCGACATACAAGCTGCTAAGAGCTTTGGGGTTGCTGGATGATCGTTCTGCGCTATTTTCTAGAGAAGATTCCTTAGAGTTAGTGCGGAATAGAGCTGTCGAAGTTATGAAAAAGCAAAATGAGAAAAACGAGCGACTTTATGATCTGCGGGCTAAGGACGTTTCCTATGACCTTGGGCAAGAAGTATTTTTAAAGAATTTCAGGCAAAGCAACTTCCAAGCAGGCTATAATGCTAAATTGGGTCCGAGGTATCTTAAGGCCAGGGTACGCCAAAAGGTGGGAAATGCTTACTATGATCTGGAAGACTTGCAGGGACGATTAATGGGTAGATATCATGCTAAGGATATGAAACAGTAATGTAGCTGCCTCAAGCTCAGTTTTGGTCAGCCTTGTGTGTTTCACCCCCAAGTCTGATCTTGTGAGGGAGGAATTTGTAACGCTTGTGGCAGGTAAATCGATGGGCAGTGCCATCTATGAGGCAAAAACCGAAAGTGTCGCCATCTAGTGGTCAGTTGGGTGCCGCGATTGGGGTAAGAATTTTCGGAGACGAAGAGGCAACAGAGTCAATTGTCATGATCCCGGAAAACGGAGAGTTATTCTATGGGGGCTAACTTAGCTTCCCGCCCAGAGCCACGAGCTGCTGGCTTTCTTTCCCTTTTCGGCAGCCATCGAGTGCGGTTTAGTTCAATTGTAAGTCTCGTATTTAATTAGTTGGTGAGAGTTTGCTTGAAAATTATATCTCTATAGTGGACTTGCGTAAAGTGACGGGTAGAATTTCCGGATTAGATATAGCGCTAAATCCTGTTTATGGGTAAGAAAAAATGAAATGGTTGTGAAGATTGCAGACCCAAAAGTGATTTTTGATTTAGGTTTGGCGCTTAGTATCCGATATTGGATCCGGCCGTTGCTGTAGAGGGAACAATTCCTCAAGACACCCCAAAAGAAGAGCGAAGTCATCATATTACATATAATATTTATATTCCCTCTTCATCATCTTCGTTATCTCCCGCCTGCGAGCGAAACTTAGCGAAGCTCAGCTTGGCAGGCAGTTTTTCGGCGCGCTGATCTAGGTTAGACGCTTCGATCCACGGTCGGACGAAAATTCAATTTAACTCGGCGTATAACAACATGGAATAATTGTTAAGTCGCCGCACGGGATGTAAGGCAGTTCAGAAAGCCAAAGATCGGTCGGAGTTTGCTGAAAGTGGATAGTTTATAAGCTATTTTATAAGTTTTTTTTCCCCTTTTTTTTTGTGGTCTAGGTTATGTGAAATAAGCCAGTGAGAGTGAAAGAGTAAGAAAAAGAAGGAAAAGAAGAGGAAAGTGCAGTGATAGTTAGAAGGCCAGAAAGGCTTTAATAATGAATAGCTAGAAGCACGAATTGCTTTAGGCATAATTTATTTTAATTTTTTTTTTGGTGGACAAACAAGCCAATGTGTTAAAAAAGAAGGAAAGAACTGCAACGGAAAAGAAGAGAAAAAATTTTGCTGTTGTTTTGCACAGTGGGCTTGCAGTGTATATATAAAGAAATTTGAATTTTCAGCCTAAGGTGCACTTACGGAAGCGCTTTCGTCGGTGGATCTCCGGAATGTTGGTGAGTCTGATATCACGTTTTATTAATATGTCTTGGTAAAATATATATATCAAATGAATTACTTTGCGTCCCACCGTAAAAAACCTAGCAGTTCGAATAATCCATAAAGGAGAAGAAAAAAAAAAAAAAAAAAGGGAGCGGATTTACCATCTCTCTTGTCTCTCAAATTTTTGAGTGAGATGAATTTCGAAATAAGTAAAACAAACCACTCAATTTGATTTCGCTGCAATTTTCTGCCATTTCCGTATTCTCGCTCTCGAATAATATTTTTTTGGTTTTAATTCGTATTACATCTTACTGCGAAGGTTAATTTAATAATTCAATTGTATTGCATGTATTTATGTTCTCATTTAATATTTTTTTCAATATGTTCTCTAATTTTAAGAATTTTAATTAGGTTTTAAATACACTTTATAATGATTAGCTAAATTGTATTTTTGTTTGCCTTCGACTAGGATGAGTCCCCGGTAGAACCCGAGTCAGTAGAAGGGGCCGTTCGATAATATGATGGGAAGTTTTCGGTAAAGAACGGCCAAGGCAGGGAGGGCAAATGTAGTTCCGTTAGAACACCCGAGGAACTTTAGGAATTCCATGAGTAAAATAACTATCCCTCTTCGTGCTGGCGCGGATTCACATGATTTTTCCTACCCCATACCACTTGTCGCTGCACGCGAAAATTCGATAAAATTTTAGAATTTACTGGCTCGTGACGAAGGACAAGATCACCACCCCAAATAGCCGACAAGGAGCAACTGGACCATCGCGCGTGCGTCCTTATCGTCATGCAACAACATCATAGCCACGTACTCGTTACATTTCTGAAAACCGAAATAGAATATCTTGGCTACTTGGTCAAGGACGGTAGTATTGAACCAAATCCGCGAAAAATACAAGCACCGGCTGGCTTCGTTTGGTAATCAGAGCATGAAGAAATACGTCAAAAAATTATCTCAGTACTAACAGATGCAAGTGCAAGTGGCTATGGTGCCATTCTCATTCACAAAATAGACGGTAAGCCTAGAGTGATCGAATATTTTAGCAAATGTACATCCCCCCCAGAATCGAGATATCATTCCTACGAATTAGAGACCCTCGCAGTATACAACGCTGCAAAAAGTTTCCGCATTACCTTCACGGTCGAAAGTTTGTAGTATTTACAGACTGTAATTCATTAAAAGCAAGTCGAACTAAAGTAGAATTAACGCCAGAGTACACCGTCGGTGGGCATATTTACAATCATTTGACTTGACTGTAGAGTACCGCAATGGAAACCGTATGGCGCACGTGGACTATTTATCCAGAAATCCGATTGTCACTGAATGTGAAACAATGAATAGGATACCCGAAGTTCGCATCGACTTAACAGAGGTGACAGACAACTGGCTTTTAGCTGAGCAGCATCGTGATTCGTGCTTAAGGGAAAGTATAGCCCAGTTGAATGGTGGAGAGGTGCAGGAGAGTTTAGCGAAGACGTATGAGTTAATGGCAGGAATTCTATATCGGAAAATTCAGAGAAATGGAAAGACACGCTGTTTACCTGTAATCCCAAGAGCCTTTAGGTGGTCTGTAGTAAACCATGTCCATTAAGCAATTATGCATTTGGGGTGGCAGAAAACGTTAGACAAGGTTTACGATCAGTATTGGTTCGAGCACATGCACAAGTACGTACGAAAATTCGTAGAGATATGCATAACATGCAAGCTGGCAAAGGTTTCAGCAGGTAAAATTCAAATGGAACTGCATCCAATTCCGAAAGTTAAGATACCTTGGCACACTGTGCATATTGATATTAGTGGAAAGTTGAGAGGTAAAAATGATACCAAGGAATATGTCATAGTACAAATATACGCATTTACTAAATATGTTCACTTGTATCATACTTTGTATTTAGATGCAGAAAACTGTATTAAGGCTTTAAAATCAACGATATCACTCTTTGGGGTACCTAACCGTATCATAGCAGATCAAAGTAGGAGATTCGCTTGTGGAAAATTTCGTGAGTTCTGTTTAATGCACAAAATAGAATTACATTTGATAGCAACAGGTCCAAGTAGGGCCAATGGACAAGTGGAGAGGGTCATGAGCACGATAAAAAGTATGTTGACAGCGGTAGAGAATGGTGAACGTTCCTGGCTGGATGCACTTAGTGAGGTGCAGTTAGCCATGAATTGTACGACGAACAGGGTGAAAAAGTATAGCCCATTGGAATTATTGATTGGAAGAGAGGCCAGGTCAATGGGTTTATTGCCAATACATGAAGAAACTAAAAAAGATTTTAAGCAAGTGAGTCCTCAGGCCAAAGAAAATATTGAAATTAATGCGAAATGTGAGAAAAATCGAGTTGATAAGAATAAGGCTAAGATTGTAAAACACACGGTTGGGGATCATGTCTTGCTAAGAAGTGAAGAGCGGCATCAGACCAAACTGGATCCTAAGTTTAAAGGACCTTTTGTGGTTGCCGAGTTGTTGGAAGGTGATCGATACCTGTTAAAATCGTTGAATAGCAAGCGAACGTATAAATATTCACACGAAAGTTTGAAAAGGCTGCCAGACGAGCAAATCTCTGATGAGACCATTTAGAGAGGTGACGGTGGTGAAAAAGACACTCGTCGTGGGTCATCAAACACAAGGGCTAACCTGATCAACAATAGTCATGCCTGGTATGGCTGATTTTGTGTGGTGCAGGTTGGATCTGAGTAGATCGTGGCACTAAAGGTGCAAAGCGTCGTGTGAGGCGGCAAGAGCCTGTAACTGTGGTTTGATGACGAGGATAGCCAAGTGGGCATGTTTGCGCAGAAGAGTACGACCTACTGAGAGAGAGTTATACCAGCTCAAGCCGAAAGCACAAGTGTGGAACCAGGGGTGTTCTGTCATGGCGTGTGACGCGGTAGACTGGTGTAGTAAGTTTGAAAAGACTCACTGTATGATGTGAGGAAGCGAGATAGCCTGCGAAACCGACACTTGATGGCGCGGTTTATGAAGTTGTGTGTGAAGACTATGTGTTTTGATAAGAATGATGTTGAGAGATAAAAAGAGAAATGAAGCAAGAATGGTACCAACCTAGTGTTACAGTACGCACACGAGGACGTGTGAAAGTTAGGAAGGTCGTATCGGAGATGTATAAGAAGCAAAATGTAAATTAAACTGTAAAGCGATAAGAAAGAGAAAGAATATAGAACAAAAGAAACTAAGCAACGAGTTATTTGTGGTTCCTTTTATTTGCATAATTGTTGAGAGCGAGGTCGCGTGTTGGTTGCCTTTGAGAGAGAGAGAGAGAGAGAGATCAAAAAGGAATGGACAATTGGATGAGGCAATGCTGCATGGCGCGTGTCATGGTGAAGAAGGAAGAAAAGGCAGTTTGCTCTGACATCTAAGATAGAGAAGTACACGTTGACCGCGACTCACTGCGTATCAGTACCAAAATGCAACGTGAAGAATAAGAAAAGTTTCAGCCTCTGACATCAGAAGTGGGATCGGCTCAGGCCCAGCGTGATAGTGAATGGCGATCGCTGTTAGAAGCACAAAATCAACGATTTATCGAAATACAAAAAACAATGCAGCAGCCTGCTTCAACCAATTCAAGTGAAAAATTGATTAGATTGCCAAAGTTCAATCCAGACGTGGCTGAAGCTGACGCCAGCGCCTGGCGCAAAACAGTCGATATGATTTTCACGGAGCATCCCCTGGAAGGCAGTGCGCTAGTTATGTCGCTGAGCGGAGCACTAGAAGGGAGCGTTTCCCAATGGCTCCATTCGCGAGTCCAATTTTGTTAGTGAAAAAGAAAGATGGCAGTGATCGGTTGTGCATAGACTATAGAGAGCTAAATGCAAATACAGTGGCTGACAAATAATCATTGCCTCTAATATCAGATCAAGTGAACAGACTGCCTGGGGGTAAATACTTCTCTTGCTTAGATATGGCTAGTGGGTTTTATCAGATTCCAATAAATGCAGGATCCATAGAGCGAACCGCTTTTGTAACCCCTGAGTTGAGTATGAGTTTCTATCCATGCCATTTGTGCTGAAGAATGCTCCTTCTATTTTTCAGCGAGCTATAGCGCGAGCACTGACTTGGCGTTCTCCTATGCAATTGTTTACATTGAAGATGTAGTAATAGAGCGAGGTCTAAAGAGGAAGCATTTGAAAGACTGACAGTCGTGGTGGGGGCTCTATCGGAAGCAGGATTTTCATTTAATATAAAAAAATGCTCTTTTCTGAAAACCGAAATAGAATATCTTGGCTACTTGGTCAAGGACGGTAGTATTGAACCAAATCCGCGAAAAATACAAGCTCTGGCTGGCTTCGTTTGGTAATCAGAGCATGAAGAAATACGTCAAAAAATTATCTCAGTACTAACAGATGCAAGTGCAAGTGGCTATGGTGCCATTCTCATTCACAAAATAGACGGTAAGCCTAGAGTGATCGAATATTTTAGCAAATGTACATCCCCCCCAGAATCGAGATATCATTCCTACGAATTAGAGACCCTCGCAGTATACAACGCTGCAAAAAGTTTCCGCATTACCTTCACGGTCGAAAGTTTGTAGTATTTACAGACTGTAATTCATTAAAAGCAAGTCGAACTAAAGTAGAATTAACGCCAGAGTACACCGTTGGTGGGCATATTTACAATCATTTGACTTCACTGTAGAGTACCGCAATGGAAACCGTATGGCGCACGTGGACTTTTTATCCAGAAATCCGATTGTCACTGAATGTGAAACAATGAATAGGATACCCGAAGTTCGCATCGACTTAACAGAGGTGACAGACAACTGGCTTTTAGCTGAGCAGCATCGTGATTCGTGCTTAAGGGAAAGTATAGCCCAGTTGAATGGTAGAGAGGTGCAGGAGAGTTTAGCGAAGACGTATGAGTTAATGGCAGGAATTCTATATCGGAAAATTCAGAGAAATGGAAAGACACGCTGTTTACCTGTAATCCCAAGAGCCTTTAGGTGGTCTGTAGTAAACCATGTCCATTAAGCAATTATGCATTTGGGGTGGCAGAAAACGTTAGACAAGGTTTACGATCAGTATTGGTTCGAGCACATGCACAAGTACGTACGAAAATTCGTAGAGATATGCATAACATGCAAGCTGGCAAAGGTTTCAGCAGGTAAAATTCAAATGGAACTGCATCCAATTCCGAAAGTTAAGATACCTTGGCACACTGTGCATATTGATATTAGTGGAAAGTTGAGAGGTAAAAATGATACCAAGGAATATGTCATAGTACAAATATACGCATTTACTAAATATGTTCACTTGTATCATACTTTGTATTTAGATGCAGAAAACTGTATTAAGGCTTTAAAATCAACGATATCACTCTTTGGGGTACCTAACCGTATCATAGCAGATCAAAGTAGGAGATTCGCTTGTGGAAAATTTCGTGAGTTCTGTTTAATGCACAAAATAGAATTACATTTGATAGCAACAGGTCCAAGTAGGGCCAATGGACAAGTGGAGAGGGTCATGAGCACGATAAAAAGTATGTTGACAGCGGTAGAGAATGGTGAACGTTCCTGGCTGGATGCACTTAGTGAGGTGCAGTTAGCCATGAATTGTACGACGAACAGGGTGAAAAAGTATAGCCCATTGGAATT